AGGTAAGCTAAAACATCAAAAATGTATTTCAAAGTGAACTATTCATCAGCACATATTCTCTCACAATTCGTTTTCTTTGGTGTGTGAACCATGTTTCTTGTGTGTAGTGTCTCGGCACCCTCACAGACCTGTAGGAGCTTCCATGACGGAAACTTTGTCCGCAGATGCTGCACAGGTGAGGTTTTTCCCCGCTATGGATCCTCAGATGCTCTCTGAGGGTTGTCCTGAAAATATGTTCAAAGATTAACTGAGAGAGCTTGTTTATGAATAAAACATCCAACCATTATCGGCATTCGGTTTTGGTAATATCAGTGTTTTGAGCATAACAGCAGCTTCATACCTCTCACGGACCGATTTGCCGCACAGAAAGCAGGTCCATTTCCTCTTCCCCCCATGTGTGCACTCTATGTGACGTTTGCGGTTTCCCGTGTCATTAAACTGACGACCACAGATGTCACAAGGAAAGGGTCCTGGATATTGGATATTTTGTCAACATTAAAACACTTTTGGTGCCGTTTATTGGCACAAAAAAGACAGGTAAAGCTTTACCCAAATGGAACTTTTCTTGGTGCTTCAACCGGGCAAATCGTGACTTGAAGTACTCGTCACAGTAGGCACACTTGAAGGGTTTGTCCTGTGAATGTAAGATCATGTGCTCCTCCAGATGGGGACGACGACTGAAGGACTTGTGACAGATCTGCAAAAGCAGCAGTGTTAAAGAAATGATACAGGCCACTGTTAAATTGTATGCAAACAGAATTTTACGTCAGCTTTTTTGTGGTCATTTGAATGTAAATAAGGCAAATGACTCACGTCACATTTCCAGCCTTCACTCTTCTTCTTCTTCTGAGTGAGAAACTCTTGGAGGTGGTCAGGGTGAAATCTGTAAGCAGACAATGTGTTGGACTTCGGTCACATACAAAGGCAAGGTAACAAAGCATTTCATCAAAACAACACCAGAAGATGTACTGGAAACTACAGCAAGTGACTTTGCAAAACATGTTTCTCCAATAGATAGTGTTGTAGTACTCACGAGACCACTTTTTGATGGTCTCGGGATTTCATTTCAAGAAAGGCCATAACTGTGAAAATATCACTAATATGCCAGTATATTGACTAATTTTTTGTTAACATCCTTGCTTTTATTATATGTAAAACGTACTGATTCAAATCCAAGCAATAACGTCGCCTTATTGGTTATTGCTAATTATGTATTTTTGTTACCGCTGCCTTTCACCCATGTATTCATGTTCATGTATTGTTAATAAAAGGTGGAGAAAAGTGAAGACTTGTTTTACATTCTGTACTAAACGATGGAAGTCACTGAATAAAGATGGTTTATTTCAGCTTTAAGTGTTAAATATCTCTATTTTTATGGGAATGTGGATCTTTCAGATCAAAAAAGGTTGGGAACCACTGTTATAAACTCATTACATGCAAAGTGAGATATTTCAAGTCTTTATTTGTTATAATTTTGAAAACCTGTTCACAATATTCTAATTTTGAATGTGGGGTTTTCATAAGCTGTAATCCAAAATCATCAATATTATTACAAATAAAGGCTTGAAATATCTCACTTTGCATGTAATGAGTCCATATTAGTTTCACCTTTTAAGTTGAATTAACTAAATTAAATTAACTTTTGAACAATATTCTAGTTTCACAAGTACATACATATGTGGATACCAAAATGTGGTATTTCTTCTGATTTTTGTGTTTTGTTTGTCATATTCAGTGAAATCCGGGATTGGGACGGGATGCCCGCTCACCTCTTCACGTGTCTGCTGAGAGTCTTCCTGCTGGCATGAAGCTTGTTGCAGAAGGGACATTTGTGCTCTTTCCTCTGGACAGGCGTATCACTGTCATGTTTCTTCTTGTGGACCGTGAGGTTTGATTTGGTGGAGTAGCACTGAAGACAGATGTCACACTGGAAAGGTTTTTCTCCGGTGTGTACTCTGGTGTGACTCTCGTATTTACCTACAAAATGAGGAAATGACATGGACATCTTGGATGACATGGGGGTGAGTAAATTATCAGCAAAAGTTTTTTTAAAAAAGTTTTAAACTACAGTTTCAATATATTTGAACTGCATTATTAATGTATTGTTAAATAAAATAAGAGATAACATCCGTCAGCCTTTACGGTTCTCACCTATCCGATCGAAGGTCTTGTCACATTTGGGACACTTTAGAGTCTTTTTGTTAGCGGTCTGGACCACGACGGGAGCCAGTCCCTCTGGGAAGACATGAGCGGTGACCTCGGTGGCTTGGCTTTGCTCCTCGACAGCATGAGTGGATCTCGGTCCGGCCTCCTTCTGGGTCTCAGTCTGCTCTCCAGCCTCACTGAGTTCAGCCTCTTGCTTCTCACCATCTTCACATTCTGCCTCCTCGACCTCTACCGCACTGGAGCTTTCTTCTCGCCCCTCCTTACTACTTTGCTCTCCCAGCTCATTCTGTTGCTCTCCCTCACTTTCGTCATCCTCCTCCTCCTGCTCCTCAAAGGTACCATCGTCATCCTTTTCTTTCTGACTGGGTTTTCCAGACAGGGTGTGGCCATTTCCGCTCTCCTGGCTCTCAAATTTAGCAGGGGTCCTCCTCTGACGGCCAGATCTGCGGGTGGTGACCGCAGATGTGCTAGCCACGTTTTGCTCTTCCTCAACATGGCAACCAGCGCTGTGCGTCTTGGCCAGGTGATTCTCCAGAGACTTCTTGTAGCAGAATGTGCGACTGCAAAAGGAGCACTTGGCTCCTACTGAAGTTTGGACATCTGGGGTCTCCTGGGGAACTTGCTGAACATCACTATCTTCATCAGCTTGAGCTGGTGTCACCCACTTTGATAAAAGATTTACAGCTTCCATCATATCCAGAAAACAGGCAGCCTCGCTCAGAGCAGGAATCTGGCCTTTTGAAACTTCAAATTCAGATGTGTACAGGAAGTTGAGCAAGTGTCCAAAGGTGGAGCCCTCTATGTTATCAATGGTAACATGGTGCAATTCAGAGTTTTCACTGAATTTGGCATGAAAATAGCCACTGCCAAAAGCCAAAACCACCTTGTGGGCATGATACATCTTCCCACTGACCATGAGAGTTATGTCACAGAACGATGGCAGTTTCTGACGGTCTTCGTTCAAGAACTTCAGGAAACAGCCATCACTTTGGGATATTTGCAGATGCTTCTTTTCCTGCGAAGAATCTTTATTGGCCATGTCAACACCGCCGCTGACATCACACGCCGTTGGTCCATCACATGTTGTCTCCTGTGTTTCTGTGCTACTGATATCCTTCACTTTTGACGGCTGGGATGGACTGACTTTCTTCTTCATGTTTAGGGTTTTCAACACAAAACTTCCATTATTAGAGCTGAAAAACAGACTTACAGGGCACAAACACTGATTCTTTAGTACTTGGTCAAAACTGGGGTGAAAAAAATACATTTATATGTATTATACACACAGTATATCCTGCAAAATATGGTTTTCAATAGATGGAGGCCATGTGAAACCATCATATATTGTTAATTTTTCTTATGAATGACTAGATTTAGTAATGTTCATGATGAATGCCATGACAGCACACAAAGAGCTGCAGGTTGTCCTCCAGTGTAATACATACTTAAAAAATAATTACTATTGTTTATTTAAACTTTCACGTACATTATAATGGAAATATAAATGTCAAAACAAAAAACAAATACATTTTAAATACAAATAAATGGCACATTTATGTTAAGTACATCCTGGAAATCATCTCTGGTTCGTTTCAAAGTGGAAACAACAACAACAAAAATCTAATAGCTCGAAAAGAATGGGGCATATATTGTCCCATGCTGGAGCAAATTTAGAATAAACGAGTATAGTTGATTATGCATACCAGCGCTTCCAGTTGTCAAAATAATTTAATCATGTCACACGCCGAACCTATTTGTGGAGTTAACTTCAGACAGAACGAAGCATTGACAGTGTCATATATCATGACGTTTCGCGTGCAGTCTTGCACTGGGTGAGGAAAATGCCATAAACGAAACAAACACATTACAACACTGTCAGCATGCATTACAATGTACATACATTCATAAATCTAGTGCACTTCAAATAAGAACAATGCAAATCTGAAGTGAACTACCCCTTACGGCCCCCCATTATGTCATGCTCCCACAGGGCCCCTCCACAACAGGAGTGCGTTGACAAACGACCCTAAAATGGCCCATGGCAAACTGCGAAGAGTGACTTGTTTCTCAGTTCCAGTCTTACCTTTAAAAAAGATTAAACATGCGGTGGTGTTTTGGAGAGGTGTTTTGTTTTTCCTTTGTATACAAACAAACAAAATTATAAGGTTATAAGACGCGAAGTGTGTCCTTTTTCCATCGTCCAGGGCTCCGACGTCTAAACAAGCTGTTTTGTCATTGGCTAAAGGCGAAACATCTTCCTGTTTCATTGGTTTACGTATAAAGCGAATTCCTCCACCGATAATAACTCCTATGTATAACTTGTAATTTAATGAAAGTTAATAATGTATTATTTTCATTTATAAATAATAACCAAAATAAATTGAATAACAATGACCGTGCAACGATAGTCCATTAGACGCGTAGCATTATGGGTAATGTAGTTGCCTATTTGGTGAATGCACACACACACAATTTAATTGGATTATAAATATATATTAAATATGATGTTTTCATTGTAAATATGCAGCATATGTTATTTAGGCAATATAGAATAGTAATAAATAAATAAACAAACAAATACAATTGTAAATATCAACAAAAGTTCGACCAGTCAAAAGTTGGAACATCATTTATTATTTTACACATTTTAAATGCGAATTGGCCAATACAGAGACAAATGTTATGCAATATTTTAGTTTTTTTACAGTCATAGTTTGGATTCTGTCTCGCGAGTCACGCCGGTGTTCGAGGCTATTCTTCCAACCGATTCCAACTGATTCCAACCGATTCAAACGTTGCCTCAGCGCAGCAGGTAAGCCTGAATATGCCAGTAAACAGTTTTGTTGCAAAATAACATTCTGTGGGCCTACTTTTTATGGCTATTTTAAACCATAAAATAAACTTCAGGCCAATTTTCTTTCTGATTGTAGCGTCCACCGCGTTCACCAACTCGTCATAATTCAGAATTCATTCAAATCATAATAGTGGATGCTGGCTTTATAAATTCGACTGTTTAATGGAAAAATTTCTTCAACAAAGCACAGCACTGAAGGCAATTGGGTGGCATAAATGCATGTACACAGACATGTTATCTGTATATTGTTTAGGCGAGTCAGAGCGGGCATAATTTTGTCTGTTTTTATGCTATATTGAATCTTTACACCGAATTCTGAGCAGGCACAGAGCAACCTTAACTTGACGGTGTAAAGAAAAATGCCTTAAGATTAGTTAATAACTGCATGTAGATGTGTCTTGTTAGAGAGCTGCCATAAGGTGTGGATGCGTGAGTCTCTCAGATTAGCCTTTGAGACCTATCCTGTCCCTGGCTTCACACCAGTTCATTACACATGTAAGTGCATTACCATAATCCCAAGACTTGCTGTGAACCCACCGAAGCCAGTCAGTCCTAAACACAGATGAATGAAGACGAGCTAAGGAAGTCTCTGGCGGTAATGGTGTTTTACGAAGCTGCCCTGCCTTCTTCAGAGCTTGTTTTAGATGTCCTATCTCTATACAACTAAAATCATGTCAAGTGCGGCCATATGTTTCTGGATGATACTGTTGCTGTATGCAGGTAATAACAGTTGTATCTTGTGGGATAGTTCTGGATACCATTAGAAACCTGCTTGTTTGTACTTTTTGTTGATGATTATTGTTAATAACATTGTGGAATAAGTCTAAGAATGCATAATGCTTTTCTTGCATCAATCCTCACATTTTAACAGATGTGTGTCTTTAGATGTATGTAATTGGCTTGCTTCCATAAAAACTCAAGATGCTTTCTGGATGATTTTGAACATTATTATTATTTTTTTTTACCTTTTGCAGTTCATGCAGCATGAAAAATCATAAGTTAAGAAAACTTTTTGTTGTATCAACTTAACAATTAAAGTTGGTCTGTTCTTTTATCAAACATAATATAATAATTTTGATAAACAAAAAAAATTTTTTTACTGGTGAATCCAAGTGCAATAGTAATTTTAAATTAAGCTGAGCATTAACATTATATAACAGTGATGTAGAACATTTTTATTTTGTATTCTAATTCAAATATTTATGTCATAAGTCCCCATGTTTGAGCAAAAACACACGCTATTTAATAAGGTGAGGTGACTATATTTAATTTTGAATTTTTTCTAAATTCAATAGTTCAATCAGCCTAAAATAGTCTTTGTTTGACAAAATGAAAGTTGTTTTTTTTTTTTTTTACAGTGATGCTGTCATTAAAAGAACATAGCAAATATTTTGGAAATCTGAAATTCTTGTTGACGATTTTCTCTCAAATTGTCATGCCCAGAAACATAATGTGTAACATGTTTTAAACAAAAATTCTGTTATCAGTTACTCATCCTTGTGTCGGTCCAAACATGCATGAGTCATGGAGATGAAAGGCCAAAAAATGTCTCAATCCATATAATAAAAGTCAATGGGGTCCAAAACATCAAACAGCTGCAAATGTTTTCAATCTTCTGATGTGGGAAGAGAATAAAGTCATACAGGTTTGTAACGACATGATGGATGAGTAGATGACGTCATTCCCATTTTTGAGTGAACGTGATATCTCCAGGTCAGATATGAAGTCAACCAGTATTGATAATGTTCATGCAAAGTCTTGAAACTTGTTTCTTCTCTGCCTCAGGAGTCTCCAGTGGGTGTGATCCAAACCTGTGCATGAATGGTGGTGTGTGCGTGAAACAGGATGGACAATACATATGTCAATGTTCCAAAGAGCGCTATAATGGACACCTCTATGGGGGGCCGAACTGCATGGTGGTCCTGCTGGGCTGTGAGCGTCATTGGTGCCAGAACGGGGCCACTTGCCATCCATACCTGGACAAAGGACGACATCGATACAGCTGCATCTGCCCTGAGGGCTTCACTGGAACAAAGTGCCAGACGTCCACCACCTTCTCTTTTGAAGAAAGTGGATTTATCCAGGTGCAGACCATCCTCACTGACGCTTCTGAGCCCTTGAATGTCACTCTGAGTTTTCGCACATTGCAGGAAGAGGCCACTCTGCTCCAGTGCCAAGTTGAAGATCAGCTTCTTACCCTAGAGTTAGTGGATGGAAAACTACGGCATACATTGCAGCGAGCCCAGGACACCGAAAGCGTTCTTCTAGAGCTCCCAGCGAGGGTTTCCGACGGCCGCTGGCACACGGCGAAGGCCTCGCTGCACAACAGCATGTTTGGGCTGAGTCTTAGTGACCCGTCTTGTCCTGGAGACTTGTGTGTCATGGAAGTCCAGATAGATCAAGCAGAGCACGAATTGGGTTCAGGTCTATCCGAGTTGACTGTGATGCAGAATCTCTACATTGGTGGAAGAGGGGAACAAGGGGCTGGTTCAAGCTTTCTGGGATGTATGCGGGATGTGTGGTTGGATTCACGCATAGTGGTGCCTGGATTGGGACAGAGGGCTCCCATTAGGCAATTTAATGTGAAACAGGACTGTGGTGACTGGGACCAATGCAAGGAAAACCCGTGCCAGAACAGAGGCAGATGTGTCAAGACAGGATGGAGGAGTTTTAGCTGTGAATGTCATCGGCCTTATGAGGGAAAGAACTGTTTAGAGGGTATGATTTTTTTTTTTTTATCCTTCTCCAGTTTACTTGTAAACAAGGTATGGGTTGGACTTCATGTAGAATTATGGATTAAAGAGGACCTATTTTTTTGCATTTTCAACTTAGTTTAGTTTAGTAATGTTGCTGTTTGAGAATGAAAAATGTCTGCTAAGTTACAAAACACAAAGTCACTCCAAAGAAGAGAGTTATTCTCTGTATCAGCTCGCACTGTTTCTGAAATCCCTGAAACGCCTCTATTGCAGTCTTAAGTTTTTTTGCGAGAAAGTACACCTCACAATATTCCTCATTTAAAGGAGTAGTTCACTTTTAAAAATAACTTTTGCTGATAATTTACTCACCCCCATGTCTTCCAAGATGTCCACGTCTTTCTTTCTTCAGTCGAAAAGAAATTAAGGTTTTTGATGAAAACATTCCAGGATTTTCTCCATATAATGGACTTCAATGGGAACCAAACGGTTCAAGGTCCAAATGAGAGTTTCGGTGCAGCTTCAAAGCGCTTTAAACGACACCAGACGATGAATAAGGGTCTTATCTAGGACCCTTCGTGTCATGACTCCAAAAAAGATTTGTTCATTTTGATAAATGAACGCGCATCACAGAGCAGAGCAAGGCAAGCATTTGAGATTATTAAACTTCAACTTTTTAATTTATTTTTTAAATGACCGATCGTTTCGCTTGATAAGACCCTTATTCATCGTCTGGTGTCGTTTAAAGCCCTTTGAACAGTTTGCAGTTTTCACTGAAACTCTCATTTGAACCTTGAACCGTTTGGTTCCCATTGAAGTGCATTATATGGAAAAAATCCTGGAATGTTTTGATCATAAACCTTAATTTCTTTTCAACTGAAGAAAGAAAGACATAACTGAAATAACTGAATAAATAACTGAAATAACTTTAAATAACTGAAATGATATTTCCTAAACACACTCAGCGGTTGACCAATCACAACACACTGGTGCAGCCATACACATAGTGTACACATGTACACATAGTCGCCCTAACAGAGTGTAGTTTATCACATATGAACTTATGATCCATTAATGTTGAAACCTGAAAGTGTTCGTTTGAAAATGTATCATTTAAAACAACACATTGTGCTGTCTTGCTTTAATTAATTGTTATTTATTTTGATATATGCAATGACATTTACACATTTTTAAGTGTGGCTTTAGTGTCGTTCCAAACCTGTATGAGTTTCTTTCTTCTGCTAAACACAACAGAAGATATTTTGTAATCAAACAGTTGATGGACCCCATTGAATTCCATAATAAGAAAAGAAAGTCAACTGGGTTCATCAACTGTTTGATTACAGACATCTTCAAAATGTCTGTTTTTGTGTTCAACAGAAGAAAGAAACTCATACAGGTTTGGAACGAAATGAGATGGAGTAAATGAACATTTAAAAAACATTTAATCTTTCCTGATCACCATTTATCTCTACAACAACGTCACTGCTCAGCAAAGAATCTAAATTTAGCGCCCCTCAGAGGGTCAAATTTAGTCCCAAGAGATAGAATGAGATTAGAGCGCTAAACGAAACACTTCTACAACACCCAGACGTAAACATGCCAAAGCAGAAGGACAGCCAAGCGAAGGATAAAATCAGCCACACCTGAACTGTGGATTATAGAAACGTGATATAAAAAGGCACGTTTAATCCATGCTAACTTTAAATAAGACCTATCCTGCCAAGAAAGCTGTTGCAGTGATTTATTAAATCTCTGTCAGTGAGGAAAACAAATATTTTTGACAGAACATATTTTTTGAACTCTATTTTTAGAAACATTCCATTTAGTCATAATTGTCTTATTATTATTATTATTATTACAACCACCACAACAATAAGACAAATGTATTATAATATTGTTAATTATTTTACATATATTTGTTTTATTATTGTTGTAATAATTTTTTGCTGTAGTAAAACGATTATTTCCATTTTGTTGCATTTTACTGTTACATTTTATTTTTATTATTGTTATTATTTTTTTATAATAGAGCAGAATTAATAATATTTGATAAAAAATAAATAATATTAACATTTATATAATAAAAATACAAACCCTTTGAATACTATGAATAAGTATTACTAAATTTAGAAATATTCAATTTTGTCATATTTGACTGTTTGTCTTATTATTATTTTTATAATTAATGTATTTATATTAATAATAATTCTTTCCATTTTGTTACATTTGACTGTCACATTTTATTTAGATGATTACAGTTGTTGTTGTTATTATTAACAACATTATTGTTTTTATTATAAACACTATATTTTCTATAGTAATGATAATTATAACTCTTTAGAATATATTTAATTTTGTTATATTTTATTTGAAATCATAATAATAATAAAAATGCTACTAATAATAATGACATTTTTTATAATGTTAATAACTTTATATTTAGAAATGTTCCATTTTGTTTGTTACATATTATTATTATGCACTCATCTGATCTATTTGATTTCGTAGAGTATGTTGCTGCGAGGTTTGGCAATGAAGATTTGGAGAGCCACGCTCTGTTCAGGGTGGATGAAGACGACCCAGGTGACAGCACTTCCGTGTCCATGTTCGTCCGCACGCGCCGCTCACAGGGCCTGCTCCTCGTCCTCTCCAACAGCACCAGTCAGTACCTCCGTGTCTGGCTGGACAATGGCAAGGTCAAAGTTCAGATCAACAACTTTGAAAGCCTGCTAGGAAGGGAAGTGGTCAATGATGGCCACTTTCATCTCATAACTGTGCTTGTGGAACCGGAATCATTGTCCCTGTTTATGTCTGCTAAGAGCGAGGGTCGTGTCCCTATCCGTCGCGTGCTGGTCCAGGCTGGGGACGCAGTACACGTGGGAGGCTTAGCGGATCGCCGTGCATCGCTAGCCTTTGGGGGATACTTTAAGGGCTGTATCCAAGATCTCCGTATGAATGGCAGACACCTGCAGTTCTACCCAGCCAGTGTCCCGGTGAGCTCCTACAGGCTCGAGAGTTTGCTGAAAGTCACACGCGGCTGCACTGGCGACGACTCCTGCAGTGTAAGTGACGTTTGCAGATCTATAGGAAAATATCCAACTGACAGAATAGGTTGATCTGGTCGACATGAAACGTGACATAGTAGGCTATATTTTGCTTTTATCTGCCGTTTAGGCCGGGTGATACCGAAATAATGGACTGGCATGGGGAAAAAACGCATTTAGATGGTCTAACACCCATTTTGCTGTTTGAGACAGACCCCAAGGGCCTGTGGACAGCAGTTTGAGAAACACTCCTAAAAAAAAAGCAAACAAATATTAAGTGAAATTGAAGATTTAACATGTGAATGAAACTTGATTTTTGTTTAAAAGGACAGTATGTACTGTAATGAATGATTGTGTGTATCTCTTCTAGATCAATCCCTGCTTGAATGGAGGTGTGTGCTACTCCATGTGGGATGATTTCACGTGCAGTTGCCCACCTAATACGGCAGGGCAACGCTGCGAGGAAGTCAAGTGGTGTGAGCTGTCCCCATGTCCCGCCGCTGCCATGTGTCAAGCACACACTCAGGGTTTTGAATGTAAGTATGAATATGTAAATGTTCCAAGAGGAGTTGTCCTTATCTGAACTGTAAAGAAAAAAGTATTAATAATACATCTATAGAACATTATCCTCAAGTTCAGTTACATAATTGCTAATTGTCATGTGTAGCTATTAGGGGTGTAACGATACCATCATGTCACTATTCGATACATATCACGATACTGAACTCACAATATATTAATGGTGATACTCCAAGTTATATGGTTATCAAAAATGCACTGTTGATTAAAATGCTCAACTTGGTGTTACATTGTGGGTGTAAATGAATAGGCTTGGACTTGGTGCTGGTAACCCAATGCACAGGACAGTGGTGACACGCCAGAATAAAATTATTCATGATTGTGAAGCTGAAAACAGAATTATTTTAGATGAATATGCTTGCACTATATTACTGAGTAGATATATTTGAAACAATGTTGGCCACTTTTTACTGGTAACATTAGACATTTGGCATTGTCAGGACCCACAAATATGTCCCCATTGCATAATCAACAATATATATAGTACTTTATTGTATTACTGACACCAAAACTCCATAAACTTTCATATTTGGTGAACTATACACAATACACATTGTCACTATCCACGATACATATTGTTGCATTTTTCAATTCCGTTATACTGTGACATGATATGCTATTACACCCCTAGTAGATATACTAGAGGATTTATGAAAGCCTTGAAAGATTATCCTTTGTTGGATTTGCCAAGCCATATTCTCTGCCCTGAGGCATTGCATGAAGCGTGTTAATGAAGCGTGAAATTAAATATGGTGCTGAGGGCTTACACTTTGGAGGTAAAAAGAAAAAAGGGAGTCTGTTTATTTATGCCTAGTGAAACTGGCAGCACCTTTAGGATCCTTTAAATCCCTTTTGATTTAATCATCTTTGAAATGACCAGTGGAAATTCATCAGACTAAAACATAACTAGATGAATTGTGAATTATAATTCTAGACCAGTCGTTCTGGCTCCAGGACCACAATTGTCTTTTTTTACAAAAATGATCAATTTTTGTGTGTTTTACTGAATAAGGATTAAGGATAAAGATTTTTTTTTCACATCATTTTTACTAGATAAAGTATTTTAGGGCTTGGCATAACTAAATGTAAATTCTTTATAATTATCCCCATGAAGAAACAATGAAAACTTTAGCCTGCATACAATAAACAAATATATCTATTTGTTGTTTTGTTTCAGCTAATTGTTCAGCTATTTGATTTGATATTGTTATTATTATTGTTTTCATTAACTACAACAATAATAATATTAATAATATTAATAATTATAACTATTTAGAAATATTCATTTTTGTTTTGATTTAATATAATTATTATTATTATTAGTAGTAATAATAACACTGCTAATAATAAAAATTATATGTTAATGAAAACTTTAAATAAAATAATCATTAACTGAAAAAAAAAAATATATATATATATATATATATATAGTATATAAACATTGATAGTATGATACTAAAATAACACTGGTACTGTGTCTAAATTGATATTTGTACTTAGACAAAACATTGCCAAAAAATCTGTTTAATCCAAGTAAGTAAACTTTAATGTAAAAAGTGTGAAATACTGAACAGCTTTTGAAGGCAAATAAGATATGCAGTCGCTTATGGAAACATAATCATGGATGTATATGTAAATTCTGGTTATATATGTTTATATATTTGCAATGAAAGAGCTTTGGAGAAATAGATTATCTTAAGTAAAGAGTTGATTGATGCTTCTTTCCTGCTCGCTTTGCAGGTGTGGTCAATGTCAGCCTCCGAAGTGATAGCCACATAATCACCTATCGTGGTAATGGAAAAATAAAGCGATATCTCAGCAGCATTTCAATACATTTCCGTACCAGGCAGCAGAACGCGACTCTACTACATGCTGAGCGGGATGCTCAATTTATTACCATTTCTATCCAAGATGGACATGTAGTTTTAGAGCTGCAGGGAGAAGAACTATCCCCCTATTTGTATATACACAGTCCGGACCTGGTTAGTGATGGACAGTGGCACAGGGCAAATTTCAGCATGGACAATCCAGCCTTAGAGTCATCCAGATGGAGACTGGTTCTGGATGAGGACTGGGAGAAACCCACCATCTCAATTACAGCCTCAGAAGATCTGGATTTCCTGAGAGAAGATGTGGACATCATCTTAGGGGGGTTGGGACCCAATTCGGAGGACAACTTCGCTGGCTGTCTTGGTTTGGTGGAGATTGGTGGCCTTGCATTGCCATATTACAGCGACATGGAGATGAACCTTCCTAGGCCCCAGGAAGAGCACTTTCTGAGAACCTCTGCGACTCCCTACATTGGCTGCTGGCGATCTAATGTCTGTGAGCCTGACCCATGCCAAAATGGTGGGGTTTGTGAAGATCTGTTCAACCTTTTCAAGTGCCATTGCCCATCTGATTGGGATGGCCAACTCTGTGAACTGACTGTAGACACTTGTGCCTCAAACCCTTGTGTTCACGGAGCCTGCAGAGGGGTGTCAGCAGGATATGAGTGCTCGTGTGACGTGGGCTACACCGGCCGACACTGTGAAATGGTGGTGGACGTATGTGCCAACCACAAGTGCAGCAATGGTGGAACATGCCTAAGAGGACTGAAACGCTACGCATGTCTCTGTCCGAGAAACACGACAGGACCTTACTGCAGGTGATGATGTTCCCCATGCTCATCCCTCCGATGCATCTTTCGACACACAAGTTCTTCTGCAATATCTTGAAATGTTGATATTCTTGGATATTTGCGTGTTAAATTCCATTTCTATTTCAGGGAGAGAGTCCCAGAACTTCCATGGTATATCGACAGGTTTCCGTGAGTTTGACTTCTTACAATATGCATTAAAGGTGCTGTAAGCCAAAGCTTTTACATGTTAGAAATGGTCCTTCACAAGGGGGTGATCAAATTAGAAGTCTGTTTGGATGTTTGAAAACCCCAGCCAACCAATATTAGCCAGCCCGAAAAAGCAAAGTAATTGACGGCAGATGGCATTTCTGATTGGCTAGAAAAATTACTCTATTTAAAAAAAAAATGTAAAAATAAAAACGCGCCACCAGTGCGTCTGAACACACCTCGTTTTCAGATCAGCACACCAATGGGCGCACAAATGGGCGGAAATTCATTTGCTATTTAAAAAACATAACGCAGGATGGGAAAATGATATCTGCGTTGGGCTGAAACTAGCATCGCGCCTGGCACCACATTGGATGAATGATTGGGCGCATAGTTTCAAAATAACTCTAAATTTTTAAAAGTATACAATAAGAGTCCTATAACAATAATGGCACAGAGTAACAATATTATTGGAATCACTTTCCCAGCAATATTTTCTAGTTGATTAAAAAGATAAAAACATTGATCAGCCAATCAGAATCCATACTGCTTTAAAAAGCTTGACAACTTAACTACAGCGTGCACTTACAATAAACAAAGATATTGTGCATTGATGTGGATGCTAATCAAGTTATCTTTATAGTTATCATTCTTGGAGTGAACGGGCCTGAAGTGTTAATAGAACAGACCTGTAGTAAGTCAAAAATGAAGTCTGTACCAAGCCTCATCCCTTTATCATATTTTTCTCTAGATACCCTAAACTGCCTGTGTCTTTCTGTGGGAATGAGAGATGGAACTACAGTTGCTTCAATGGTGGGAATTGCTCCTCTGTAGAAGATAATTGTGAATGTCTACCTGGATTCACTGGACAATGGTAAAAATATTAAACCACAGAGGTTCAATTAATGTGATAACACGTGAATAGGTGAAAACCTATTGATGAGAAGTGTGCTATTTTCTCTCTCAACAAAAACTTAAAGGAGTAGTTCTCTTTTCAAAAAACTTTTGCTGATAATTTACTCATCCTCATGTCAACCCGCGGGTCGGGTGGGGGCGGGTAAAGAAATTGTCACTTTATTTGCGGGGAGGTTGGGGCGGGTCATTCCCCAGCAAGCAATTTTGCGTCTAAAAGACGTCTAATAGCCGTCAAAACATAGCCCAGACGTCTAGGCTAAATCAAGGCAAAATTTGGGCTGTCAGTGAAAATCTAATAGACGTCTAAACATAGCCCAAGAATAGACGTCTAACCATAGCCCAAGAATAGACTATAGTCAACAATTAGACGGCTATTGAACGACTACATTTATACGTCTAATAGACAGTGCATATGGGTCTAGGCTAAAACAAGGCTAAATTTGGGCTGTCAGTGAAAATCTAATAGACGTCTAATGTAGCCCAAGAATAGACTAGTCATCAATTAGACAACTATTAAACGACTACATATACATGCAATAGACAACAAAATGGCTAAAAGATTCTTTTCACTCAAATATTCTCATAAATGACAAGCCATCCAAAAAATATACATATAAAAGGCTTTATTTAGCAAAAGAACAACATTACGTAACTTCAAGACATAAAAATTACCAAACCAAATATTAAAATTAAAAATATAAAATTATTTTAACATGAACAACTTAAGATAATAAAATAGAAAACTCTGTTGCTGCTGGGAAGTTGGTCATCACAGCATCTGCCAAATAAGAATAAAATAATTAGCACAAGAAAAGCATTGTTGAAAGTACCTGTACGTTTTGTGTGTGTGTGTGTGTGTTCTGTTTAGGTTTTAATGCACATCTGAGCTATTTGCATTATTGATATACTGCCGGATACTTTTTAGATTTGCTTATTTTATATAGCCAATCATTTGTATTTTTATGCTTTATTATAAAATTAATTTGAAAGTTTCAAACTTGAATTAATGAGGGCATTTTGAATGAAACCTCATCTTATTGGGATTGTACAATAACAAACATTATTCTACTCTATTAGCTTATGCTCTCTAACAAGCCAATGTTCAGACAAATTCAATTTTATAATTTATATCAATGATGGACTTTGTCAAAGATGAGAGATTTAGTGAGGAAATGCCATTTTCATATCACAATGATCTAAAGAAAAGAGTCAAATATAAGTGTGGTTTTCATAACACTTTATAATAGGTTGCATGTGTCTTATGTTTAGCTACAGCTTTGGATTCAGTAACGTTAGGCCTAAGTTACACGTGCATGTACCATGATACACTGTTACCCGCTAAAATGTCACGATTGCAACAACACATGATAACAAATATTTTATCTAAAAAATTAACACGTCAAAATGAAAACACAGATGCAGTTACAAGACAAAAGTGGGAATGTATTTTACCTGTTGTCGTCGACCGTCAGCTGAATGCATGCAATGCTCTGCCTCGTTTAAAATATTTGAAAATGGTCGATCGCGTGACCGGTGATCTGTGCTATCAAGTCTCGCGTTGTCAGCATGTCTCAGTAGGGATGTTGCCATCTAGCGGTTGAGAAATGTAATTGCGTTTTTATTTAATTTAAAATGAAAGACAGTCAAATAAAACCGTAGATTTTTTTTATTAATGTGTGACTGTGACAGCAAACATGAAGCTGCGTGGGTGAAAAACAAGTAAACAATTTTAAGATTTTATTTTGGCTATACTAATCGCTGGTCTAAATCAGGGCTATGATTGCCTCGATTTCGCCGGTGGGCTAAAAGCAGACTGTACATAGCCCATCTAATTCAGAGCTAAATCGTGACTACAGATCGACCATGTCATGATATGACACTGGCACCTTGTAGATATGTTTACCAATAAGAACATGATGGGATATAAACCATCTCATGCGTTGCCTGCCCAACAATTCATTAAAACGACAATTAATCAGTTTCGACTAGAAGTGGGCTATAAATAGCCGGGCAGACTTTACGAGCTAGATCGCGTCTACACATAGCCTACACATAGAAAATGTCAAAGAAATCAAACCAAACACCTTGTAATCACAGTTGACTTTGCTTACATGATGGAATATAATACATTATGCAAGTTATTTTGGAAAAAATTACATTTAGCCATGATTCAATGTTATTTTGGCTAGAAGTGGGTTACACATAGCCGGACTATATCGGGTCTATATTTAACCTAGACGGTGAAATGAGGGCTATTGCTTGCTGGGTCATATTTTTTTATCCATGTGTGTTGCTTGTAATTTCCAGCCTATATTAAACATTTGGAAATATCTATTTTCATATTTTTTAAGGTTATTTGATAAGGTTACAATACGATTGCCATAGCAACGTAACTTGCGTGAAGTTCCCAAACCTTTGGTGTCACGTGACCCGTCACGAAAGCGGCGCGCCAAGCTGCTCCCGCCGCCAGCCTCGACGACGACAACAACAGCAACGGAGAAATATAAGTGAAGATTGAAGACGAGGTGCGGGAGAAATTGAGGTCAGGAATATACATATTTAAAAGAAAAAAAGGTCAGGCTGCTAATCTAATGTTTGGGAGCGGTTCTTCCCATAAGTAGTTGCAGCAGGAGACAACAGTCTGACGTTACCTGAAGTGCAACTCGTGTGAAAAATATACAAACAGTAGCGCCACAAAATGGGCACTTCCAGCATGTCAAGACATATTTGTGGGGTCTAAGAAATAAAAAAAAATGGTTTAGCCTATTAGATGAATACAAATGCTGTTTTGTAAATGTTGAAAATGTTTATTAATATGACCTGATTTATGGTTCATATTCATAATCGTCTGTTATTGCCAGTTTACAAGGCGATGTTTCCAAGCACTTTCAGGCTGAAATAAAGGCTGTTTTCATTTACATAACAATGCCTAGTAGCTACTACGTCTATTTAACGGTCGCTGGTGCGGGGCGAGGCGGGTTGTAAAAATAGAGACGGTGGTGCGACCCGCGCATCACTAGCGCAAAATGAACAAATCTTTTTCCGAGTCAATTTGTTCGTTTCGTTCGTTTAATGAACCAAATGACTCGGGAAAAGATTCATTCATTTTGATGAACGAGTTCGAACAGAAGAGTCACGAACGCACATCACAGAACAGAGCAAGGTGACCATTTGAGCTTATAAAACTTAAACTTTTGTTATTTATTTATTAAATGAGCGATCGCTTCGCTTGATAAGACCCTTATTCATCGTCTGGAATCGTTTAAAGCCCTTTGAAGCTGCACTGAAACTGTCTTTTGGACCTTGAACCGATTGGTTACCAGTAAAGTGCATTATATGGAGAAAAATCCTGGAAAGTTTTCATCAAAAACCTTAATTTCTTTTCGACTGAAGAAAGAAAGACATGGACATTTTGGATGACATGGGGGTGAGTAAATCATCAGCAAAAGTTTTTTTCAAACGTGCACTACTCCTTTAAGGGCAAACCTAGTTTTTTTCTGCCTACTGTTTGTAATGTGCCATAAGATAGCTCTTCACTGTGTCAATCTCTCCATCTGAGATGACTGATCTTCTTTGACAGGTGCGAGCTGGAGCTGGATGAATGTGCATCTGACCCCTGCCTTAACGGAGGCTTCTGCCGTAACCTGATCAACAGGTTCCTGTGTGTGTGCGAGATGAGCTTTGCTGGTGACCACTGTCAGATTGACGTCAGTGACTTCTACGTCTATGTGTTCCTGCTCCTGTGGCAGAATATCTTCCAGCTGTTGTCATACCTCATTTTGCGTTTAGATGATGACCCAGAGGTTGAGTGGAACGCAGCCAATGATGACTAGGACTAAAAACACTTCCGAAAAAGACACTCTGAGGACTCTTGAGGAAGATGTGAGGTGATGTTGAATGGACACACACACACTCTAAGCAGTTGACCAATCACAAAACAACCCATCCAACCAAAACAATCCCATTCAACCAGCAACCACTATGCATTTAACCACAGGTTAAGAGCTGTCGTTCCAACCACACAACTTTGCGATGCTGTTTGCGAATGTTTGTTGGAACAATGGTTTCGGGAAACATCGACTCGTTGAACTATGCTGATAATGACGGAACTTATGAACATAGTTAGCTAATGATGCTTTTGGGAAACGCACCCCAGCACTTTACTGACAGACTATGAAAAGAGGTGTTGCAAAAATGTCAAATATGTGTAAATTAAGGCATTTTAAAAAAATCAATCATATTTTAGTAGACCCCAAAAACTAAATCATGCATTTCAAAATGGTCATAATGGCTCCCCTTTAAATATTAACATTATGAGTCGGTTTTCTGAATCAAATGTAGTTTAAGAACCAAACAATGAGAAAACCGATATATGATTTTTAATCCCATCATTAAATGATTTTTTTATCAACTGGTGTTCTGATTTATGAATGTATTTTGATGTTTAATGTTATTTTTTGAAGTAAATATGCAATCCTAGCCTTTTATATACAGTATCAATGATTAAATGACTTTATTAGCTTTCCAATATTTTACCCCATTTTGCAGATTTAGTTTTGAAAGCTAATAAACTAATCACAAAAATAAGAGCATTCAATTAATATTTAGTTGTTTCTATGCAGCACCTGTGTATATTATAGTTTTGGCTTTGATTATGAATCCAAGATTGACAACAGGTTTCAAACTTAAATTTGAAGTATTTAAATGTCTGTGTTGATTGTTGAATGGCTGTTCTTTTTTATTTTATTTTTCGAGAATATTACAGAGATTAACAGAGACTGATAATGGCCAACATTAAATAACATCCCTCATATTGCTGACCACTGGTAGTAGGATTTCTACAATACTCAGGCAAATAGAGGCTCTTCAGAAAAACAAGTTTACATTAAGTTATGTTTGCTTTTCATTGCTGGCTGTTTGATAAGCACCAGCAACAGCAAAAACACACTTGGAGGCATCTTTCTAAAAATGCTTGAAATCTGACATTTAAACTTTTGCAAAAAAGTGAGTCAAACCTAAGGATTTAGCTTTTCTTTTTACATTTTTAAATACCACATGTGGTGTGGATTCATTAAAAAAAACACAACTGAAGAATGACTGGATGTAAAGCTGACTGGACTGACTTCAATCAGGTTCTATACATGTGTGTTTTATCAGGACATGGTCAAAGTTTAAAAGCACCCCTGCTTCCCCAAACCAACCTTTAATTTGAACACCCACTCAAATTACACAGTTATGTTTATATTGGCTCTCAAAGATGGTTCATTGGTGTCATTTACGTAACAGAAGTCGGAATGTCGTCACGACTAAAGTACAGCGTATATATGTATATAAATATACACGCACAACAAACCAAACTCTGCCACCTTCTATCCGCATATAGTCTTTGCTTCGGGCGTTCAGGTTATTGCTGTTCAGCATGCAAATCTGGGTTAAAGTGGCTGTTCTTGGGCTCCTGGTAATGGGCTCTTGGGCTCAGGGGGTGATGCCCACTTTCAGCTTGCCTCCCTGTGATTCCCCGGAGGCTGAAACGGCGGCTCTGGTGGCGCAGGATTTCCTCAACGCTCAGCACACCCACGGTTACAAATATGCCCTGAATCAGATTGAGAAAATCAAGATCCTCTCCAAGGTATGACAATCAATGCTCATGATCCACTAAGCTTTTTTAAGAATACGAGACCTCTGCAGTTCCATGAGATTTTCGGAAATGTTTCATATAAATGTTCGTTTGTTGCACACTTGGCATGTCAATATATCAATCCACACATTTTATTACAGGCATAAATAGGGTTTTAATATTTAAAAGTCTCTTTGTATAGCCAGGTCAGCCAGACACGTATCTTCTGGAGTTGGATTTGCTGGAAACTACATGTCACGTCTTGGATCCAACACCAGTGAGCCTGTGTCCAGTCAGACAAAAGCGAACTACGGTGAGATCTGTTCAGTTAACTTTATTGAAAATATGTCGTATGTTGCATTTATCTAAAAGGATCTGGTCCTTGTCTAGGCTGTTGAAGCAGATTGTGATTTTGCCCTGACAAATACAACTCAAGGTCTGTCTGTTGTGGCATTCAAGTGTAAAACCGAAACAGGTAAGAGGACACACAACAATTAAACAAATGCACTTTTTGTCATCTGATTGGGAAAGGAGACTTTGTTTTTTGTTGTTGTTGTATCTAGAATCGGAGGATGAATGCCTAGGCTGCCCTAGCCTCGTTCCATTTAATGACACAGATGGCCTCCAACTCATTGAAAAGTCTTTAGATAGTTTCAATAAAAACAATACGCTAAACAAGTTTGCACTCCTTGAAATTGGACGAATGGCATCCCAGGTAATGTAAATGGTATATCAGAATAAGTTATTATTAGAAAATAAAGCTCCCTATAGATAATATGGTACTGTTTTCTACTTTTTTTCAGATTGTCAGTGGTGGACCCAAATACTTTGCAGAATATGCCATAATTGGGACTAACTGCACGAGTTATGATGATGACATATGCATCCCTCAGAATCACACTGTTGCTGTAAGAATATTTAAATGTCTTGAGGGAGAGGGAGTTTGGTTAGTGTTCAGCTGGCCGGAGTAGATGTTTGTATTAAAAGTCAACATGAAGCCAGAAATGACTCTATTAACCTAAACACCTTCCTGATCTATTGTGCATAAGACATTGGTGCTCCACCTTTGAAGCAACTTTACTTTTCAGATGATTTCACCAAGCCCTTTTTTCAAACCCCACTCCGTCCAACTGCCTGGCTCTATTCCTCATGCCCTCTTTTCATGATCCAGTCAAATCCCACAGATAAAAGTCTCGTCCTACATTTCTTTCTTGTTGAATATCCTGTTTTGCTCAGAAATCAAATCAGATTACAGAAGCAAAATGGGTTGAACAGTCTTTCATGTTGACTTCAAAGTGTCTAATCCATATTTGTGCCTATTTTTAGATTCATGGCCTCTGTCGAGCTGAAGGTTCTGCCAATCTGAATGATGTTGACTGCAAAATCTTCAGCCCAGTAAATACCTCTTTGTTATTGTACACTTGTCAATTTAATAGCTGCCTTAATCTAATAAGCTTTTTGTATAATTTAGACTTTTTAATAACGTGTGTGTATATATATATATATATTTAATTAAAGTTTCAGTAAAGCATTTTTCTTGTAGACATGACATGATTGGGACAAGTTAAATGAATGCAAACAAAAAAATTGCATTGCAAAGTTGCATTGGTTTGGTCAGTTATACCATTTAATGTTACAAACAACCAAAACATTAATCATATAGGTGAAGTGTGTAATTTATGTTCCATGTGTAACACCAAAACATAAAAATGGTTTCACTCACTCCCTCCTCTTCCCTCAAAGTCAGTAAGCTTGGTCAATGTTGCTATTCAAGGCCTTGCACCAGTAGTGGCACATAAATGACACTCTGCACATCTAACTTTAAACTCAGAGTAAACCGAAGCAGAGATTAGAGGAAATTAAATAGACCTATTTTTTTTTTTCATAACAGACCCAAACTGTTGACCCCGCGAGCAATGCCACAGTGCGAATCCAACAACTTCTGCATGCACACACCTTTGGACCCCAACATCACCCGACCATCCATGACCTCAGCCATCACAAGCTGACTGCACTTCATGACCCTGCGAGAAGCGGCCTGCTCTCAGAATCGGATGAATCAGCTGAGGTAGTGGTGGTTGTGCCACCAAAGGAAGCGCCGGTTGTAAAGAGGGAGGTTTCTGCACCAGAAGGGCCAGCAGTAGATGCACCAGTAGTGCCAGAATTAAATGCAACAGTAATGGCAGAAAAACCACTCATTCTTTCAGATCCAATCCTCCTCGCTCCTATCTGTCCAGGAAAAAAGAAACATTTCTGACTTGTTCCTATTTCATGAACCATCCTATATACAGTAGTCGTCATTTGAAGTCGATCAAATCCTTTCATTAAAGTTATACATGCATTTTGAACAATACTCAACTTTTTTGATCCACTTCAAATGTTGACTACTGTAGATAAGATTAAGTCCTACTTGTTTTGGTCTCCTGACTTATCCTGTTGAGTTTTGAGATTGCCATCAAACTTATAACTGCAATCAGTCAGGATTAAATGCTTTATAACAAAACCGGTACAATTCAAGGATATCCTTGTTATTCTGTGGTGCTGAAATAAAATGTTTACCTTGACAATATGTCATTAAATATCGATGACCCATAAGTGGGACAGAGATTCTCTAATGTTGGTTATAAATGCTGCCATTTCCAAAGGGAATATGTGCTTCACATTTTTGATAGACATTCTTATCTTGAGTTTGTATGGTTTTAAAGATTTCTCATTGATTGCGAGTTAACATTACCAGTCATTTTATAATGAAAACCGCTATCAAATGAAACACTGTATGGCAAGTGGGGGTATGTACATGTAAGTGATTTTTTTCTATAACATGCACACCTGAGAAAATCAAGTTGACTTGTATTTCTGGTAACGGTGGCATGGACACAGTATATAAACCCATAGGTACCCAAAAAGTGCCAACATCTTGCAGTTTCGCTCCAAAGCACAAATCCTGAAGACCTTGATAATTAGGGCTAGAGCTAAACTCTGCTGGAATGGGATTCTGCACAAACTGAATTGGATAGCCCACCAACAAACACTTGTTCCAAGTGAGTGACGCTAAATTAACTGCAATCTGTACATGACTCGACTCAACATGAGGATGAAAAACTCAAATTATTTGTAAGAACCCAGAATATAAACTTGTGCAAAAGAGAAAAATACCATAATCAAAAAAGACTCAAAATGAACTCCATACAGTATATTTAACTAAACAGGCATTGCAGGCCAGACATTCTTTAAAGAAAAAACAATAGCAGCTTTGGCACTTAAACAGTTTTATTAGTTATCGTCGTCTCAAGTCCTTGGTTTACTGTGGATAAACGCCTCATAACCCTTAAAAAAAAATAATGTGTAAAAAAAACATACATACAAATATACACACAGTAGTTATGATGTACCATTTTGTACACCGAACTGATTCACTTACCATCTAAAGTGTCAGCTGAGAGTAACGCATCCTGGTTAGATTGAACAGCAGGAACCCAATATGTGCCCCTAAAAACAGGATGCAGAGATTTTCTACTTTGAGAGTTATACTGCTGAGGGTTAATTAATGGAAGGTTACCACCACTAGTTTGCTCTGGTTGAGGTGGCGTGGTTGAGGGCTCAAATGATTTGTGATTATCGGATGGCTGAGGTAATGACATCTGGTTGAATGAGTCTCTTGTGGGAGAGTCAGATTTTGGAACCTTAGCATTTGAATAAGTAGCTTGATACCAGTGATCCATATGCACATTTTTGCCATGAGCTGTAGGTTTTAAAATGTCAGATTGGTCCATTTCCTCAAAAAAGGGAGCATTATTTGGAGCAACTAACTTTGGTTGCCTGTACTGTCCCCATGGGGAAAAACGCCATTCCCTCTTAGCCTGGTAAACTGGAGGTTTTGGGCTTTGGTTTGAATTGACAAGAGGCTCAGTAACTGCTCCATTTTGTAAGCGTCCAGAAGGCACCTTAGAAGGTCCCAAAGGGTGTAGAACAGGAGTAACATTTGCAGATTCCCCTGTAGGCCATGTATAACCAGTTTGTGACTCCAACTTCCAAAAAATGGAAGGATTCATACTAGGTCCCATCAAAAGCTTTGAAGTATGAGGGACTTGGATACCCTTAACAGTGGGATTCTCTACCAAATATTGCATTGCTGTAATATCTGAAGCTGGTGGTACAATTGCATCGTGTGAAGAAAGCAGGCCATTATTATAACCCATGCCATGAACAAGAGGAAATGGGTTTGAACCTGCAGATATAACAGGAGATGACAGCACTTGGCCTGTAGCTTTAGTCAGACTAGAAATTTCAAAACTAGACAGAGGACGATCAAAATAGAGATGGTTGTGGAAGGATATTGAAGGTGGGCCAGAGCAGAAAGATGGACAGAGAAAAGAATGTGACAAACAAATTGGAGTCAGGCAAGCATTTATGGGGGCAGGGGTGTCAACAACTTCAGGAAATTTGGGGAGTGAAGGGGTTGGATCGGGGCTTTGGTCATAATCAAAGTCCATGCTCATAGGAGGATCCTTAACTGATGTGTTTGATCTGGAAGCAACAGCCCCAGAGGTGGAAACTGTATTATTCTGGAGGACATTTATAGGAACCAGAGGCATTACCGGAGAATGTGGTGGGAAGGGTTTATCCCATTGATTGTGGAAGATCTGTGGCCCTGCTTTTCTTGTAGGGGCAGGTGTAGGTGGTGCAGACTCTGGTTTTGGTGGAATGTGTGGTTTAGAGGGCCCTGGTTGGTTTTGGGAATAAGGCCAGTTTAGGTCTTGTGGAAATCCAGGTTTTCCAGGATACTGCAAATTTCTGGGAGGAAACCTAAGCGCCCATTCCGCAGGTGGGACAACAGGTATTGTGAACGCCAACTCATCTTGAGGACTGCTTGTGGGTTTTAGTAGGGGAGCGAGAGTGGTTTTAGGAGCCTTGGTAGGAAGCAACAAAGGTTCTCTTGGATCTGGCAAAGCTGCACTTGGACTGGGGACAGGGGTGAGACCCGAACTGGGCTTAAAGATCCAAGGGTACCAAGTTTGAGGAGGTCTTATGTAAAAGGGTGCTTGTGGCTGCTGGGTGATAGCAGTTGGGAGACCCATAATTTTGGGACCTTGGGGAACAACCTCTGGTGACCTGTTTGGAGGAAAATGTAGAAAAGGGTAAATAGGAGGAACAGGTTTAAAATTTGGCTGGCCCGGGATGTAATAATGAAGAGGAGGAGTTGGCAACTTCTGAACTGTTGAACTTGTGGAGGTTGTTAAACTTGGACCCCTTATTGGCTGAGTGGTTTCAGTGGTGGTGGTGGTGGTGGTTGTAGTAATGGTGGGGGGAGGGACTGTAGATGAAACTCGAGGCTGTGGCGTAAAAGTCATTGTATAATTTTTAGGTGCATGATCAGGCAAACTCATTTTCGACAATGCTGGACAGGACAGATTAAACTCGCTGTCTGCTGCCATGCTAAGAGTGAACATCCCATCCTGCAAAAGGCAGAAAATTAGTTTTTTCAAGACGAGAAACTAGTTGAAATTAGTCAAATGTGAAATACTGTAAATTGCATACCTTTGGCTCAGTGCATGGCATATACGGAGCATAGATGACCACACTTTCTGCATCCGACACCAAGCTGTATCCACATCTAGTTGACGCATCCAGTAGAGGCTCCCACGCACTCAATACTAAGTTTAAACATAATTAACTAAATTTAGACCTGTAACACTCACATCAACCTGCAAACAAAGATCCCAGACAGCAACAGTGTAGTGGATTCACTGCTTCCCGAACGTGGGCCAGATCTATGTTGCTGTTTGGGATGGACCTGTTTGTTACCTTTGATCTTCAGGTTCTCAGAGACTTCTTTAGACAGCCTCACAATCATGCCATTTGTGTAGCAGGAGACAGTTGGAGCTCTCTGTGCCGAGGTTGGTGAGGAACAAGACATTTTCACAGCCAATCCAAACCAAAGTAAGGGAAGAACAAAAGTGTCTTTCTGAAAAGACCAACGAGTAAGGTCAGAAGGGATAATGCATGCTAAAATTCTATTTATATTGAAATCTAAATGCAAACCTCATGTGAAACGTAACATCCATCATTTGGTATAATGAAAACAAAGTCTCTCCATGTTCTCAGAAATCTATGACCACATTCCGAGGGCAACTGTGACAGTGGAAGAGGTGGATTGCTTCCTACAAAAAGATAAAAATACATTTTTGGGAAGCAAAAAACAAAAGTTTGAAGTCTTAAATGTCAATGCAGAGGCAAACCTCGATCAATAAGAAAGTTGGATCCAAAAGGAGCCTCTCGTCCATGAATGGTCAGTTTCATCAAATCTCCAGTACAATCTACTTGGGGTTTCATATCAAGTAGCCTTTCTACTGTTGGAGTATACAGGGTGTTCAGACCATAAACCTGTCCCCAAAGAGGTTGCAACTTCATTCCGCCTTTTGACAGAAGACAAACAGGGTAAACTGGAATACAACAATAATAATAATAATAATGAATTTTATTTGTAATGCACTTTATATATGACGAACATATCTCAAAGTGCTACAAGTGTACAGATAAAAGCAATAAGAATAGATATAAAAAAAACATGCAATGACAGAATTAAGACAACAAACTTAAGAACAGTCAGTTAACAACAAAAGCAAAATTTTGGCAAAAAGCAAAAAGACCAACTTTAACACAATGCAAACAAAAATAAACACTTTTGCATGGAGGTGCAATAAATAACCCCATTCAGGCCCAATCCACACTACTGCGTTTTCGTTCAAAAATCGAGACCTTTTGCTACGTTTGCAACTCCCGTCCAGACTAAAATGGAAAAAACTAAGGCCTAAAATGGAGAAGTTTAGAAACGCTGGTCGCTGATCAACCAATCACAACAAACGCATGACCCATAACTTAATCCGATTGAAATTCAGGCTTCACATAAGACATGTATGCCTAACCATTAGACAGGAGGTAGAGGAGCTGTGGAACATTAACATCCATAGCAATGGACATTAGGTAAATAAAATTACTAACATTATTAATATGATTTTATGTCTTCAATGTTGTGACCATTAAATACCACTCAGCTTTTCATTAGTTTTAGTGAAAAACCACAAAAAAGAATGTGAAATGAATGAATACACAACAACACACGCGCACACTCCATAGACGTACACATGCTCAGAAGCATCTACTGCAACCAAGTATTTTAAGGTTAAAAGATGACTTTGCTTCAGTGGCCGGTTGCATAAACTGCTAAGATTAGTACTTTTTTTTTTCATTATTATTCATTACGATGTAAAAACATACATTGGTCTAATTTGAAGCCAAAAAGTAAAACTGATTGCCCCTTGATTAATTTGGTCATTGGACATTCTAGTGACCTACTAAAAACATATTTTTTAGCATACTGTTTATACCAGTGGTTCTCAACAGTCCTCAGGACCCACTGCTCTGCACATTTTGTATGTCTATCTTATCTAACAGAGTTAAGTTCAAAGAGTCTATCCTAATGAGCTGAGGATCTGAATCAGGTGTGTTAAATAAGGTAGACATACACAATATGCAGAACAGTGGGTCCCGAGGACTGGTGTTGAGAACCACGGGTTTATACAACTGGCCTCTAGGTGTCAATTGCCAAACAGGCCTAATAATAAAAACACAATAAAATGAGTTTGCAACAAATCTTGTTTTAAGACTCATTTATAAAAGGTTTTATTTAGTTTGTTTTCCTCAGTGGGGAAAATAAAACTAGTTGACTAAAGTCATGGACAAAACTTTTTGTTAAATATTCACTAAACATGTATTCTGTATTTTTAGTAATTTAAATCGTCCTTACAAATGCATAAAAAAAATCACGGGTAGGTCTATATAGTTTACCTGGATCACCTGCATTCTCATCGGCTCGTCCGAGATCCGAAGAAAAACGGTCACAACCATCACCATTAGACTTTGGAGCTTGGTTTGGCCCAACGAGAACACACCCGACCCGTTCTCCAGATTTCGGCTTCTCGTCTCCTCGTTCCAATAACTCACTTGTCCGTGCGTTCTTGTGAAAAGAGCCCAGTGAAAACGGTTTCTTTTCCTCATTAAATAGCACAAAACCACTAACTTTAATAAAGCTAAGACAAATAAACAGAACACATTTCAGAATCTGTTTCCCTTTAGTCGCCATTCGACAAGACAATTTTGCACACACAACGCGGTAGGCTACACCACTGTAGTGTGTCACAAAAACGCGTCTATTTTCAAGCACCGGAAATATATAAGCTCGTATGTCAAATCAGACACCTGTTTGCCACCCTAGACTGGAGAGATAAATTAAACAGGGATGTGGATAAGTATCATTTGTGAGGTAGGCAACGTCGGTCCAGGAGAGGCGATGTCCTGCAGAGTTTTGCTCCAACCCTAATCAAACACACCTGAACAAGCTAATCAATGTCTTCAGAATTGCAACAGGCAGCGTTTTCTTCCAGGGTTGGACCGAAACTCTGCAGGACTCAGGACTGACGTTGGTCTAACTTTTCTCTAATGGACCTCAATGGACTTTTCTCTTATGGACCCCAAACGTTTCAAGGTCCATGTCAGCGCAGCTTCAAACGATACCGGACGTTGGATACGTGTCTTATCTAACGAAACGATCGGTTATTTAAAAAAATAAATAGAAAAGTTTAAATTGTATAAACACCAATGCCTTACTCTGTGCTGTGATGCGCGTCCGTGACTCCTCTTCATCAAGATGAACGAATCTTTTTTCGAGTCATTTCGTTCATTCTGAGTAAATTATCAGCTAAAGTTTTTTTAAGTGAACTAATCCTAAGTAGAGTGAAAGGTGTGTGTAGGCAGATTTTTACAAGTTACACTCTGCCAGTTCTAGATGGCAATAGGTTGCAACTCTTCACATCAGACAAGCTAATTCTGGAAATAAAATCCTTTACTATCCCTTTAAATATATTTTATAAACCTGCCTTAGAAAAAACATTACATCTTGAGACAAAACTGGGCTATTTGATATGGGTCATTCCGAATGGGTTGCTTGTTGTAACTCTTCAAATACAAGCAATATTTTGAAATTAAATTAATTTAAATTAATTAAATTAAATTAATATTGTACTATAAATTATGGGCCAAACAAAACTGATAAAAAAAATGGTTAATTTTTTTTTTAGAAAAATAAAAAATAGTAACAGGACTGAAGGTAACAGGATTGAGTTTTTAAGCAAAAAGTTATCAAAAATATGGCATATGGCCACATAGCATTGATGCTAATAGCGTGAGGACACTGAGCCATTTCTAGTGCCTTACCAAAAGTTAATATTTTTTTTTTTTAAATAAAAAAATAAATCTAAGAAAAAGTTTAAGTAACAGGACTGTATGTTGAGATTGACCTTCTTATTCATAGTTACAATTTCATCAAATATACAGAAATATGCCCCATTGCCTTCAGAAGGTCCAGATGATGCAACTTACTGTTGAAAATGTGTCTACGTTTTTCAGAGGGGGATGCAACAGGACTGAGTGAAAACCCCGGGACATGACTAAAATGTGTATTTTATCTAAAATATTAGATCAAATGTTTTTTTCTTTTTTTCATTTTAAAGCAATTTGGATATTAAGTCACACTTTCTGACAAAAAAAAAATCAGATTTCTTAAGGATTTTAATCATAATATTTCATGGTAAAGTTTAGAGAGATAGAGTTGGGACATGCAGAAAATGGTATTTTTTAAGTGTTCTCTGTCATTTTTATTAATGTTTTTAATTATACGTTTTAAATTTATAGTTAGCTTAATGTGCATGACATTTTACTTAATGATAAAATGTGTTTTAGAGTTCATTTTCATGCAATTTTATACATATAATGTCCTGGGGACAGAAATGTCACCCTTTTGGTGGAATGGCTCATTTGTCAGTGCTGTTTGTAATTATAGCGACCTCTTCAGGCTTATCCATGTCAAATACAATCCAAAGAGGCATCGCATTTAATTTCAACAGTTCACATGTTGAATAGAAAATATCTTAAGAGAGAAAGGCAGCAAATGCCTTTTCTGATACCTACCATGCACTACACCGTCATTGATAAACTTCATTTTCAACATATTTATAAAAAGATACTTAAAGACAAACACATGAACAAAATGAAATTTCTGGTTGGAATAGGTTTATTTGATCTGTCTGTAAACAAGGTGGTTAAATCATGGCATTTGTTTTTTTTCTTTCCTTTCACGCAAATTGAGTTGAGCTGGCCAGATGTAAGAAGGGAGAGAATTGGACATAATTTGATGATTTTTTTTTTTTTTTTATCTATACATTTTCCACAGGCCCTGGAGTTTGAATTTATGCCAAATATCCCAAAGGTGCCACTAAAGAATCGACTCCTCAAGGCAGCAGTTAAAATCCATCTCACAGTAGCAACAGATCAGATCTACATTATGGCACAGGATACACAGCTTTATTTAACAAGTTTCCACAATACAACTGACTTCGACTAGTGGTCTTTTTCCATCTAATACCACCATATCCCAGAAAAGGTTAGTGTACACAGTTTACTTCAGTATATATATTTTTTGTCTATTTAATGAAGCATTTGTACCGTGCTATGACAGTTTGATACATCGCAATTAAGTAGTGTACAAGGCAATGACTTCCAAATGGTTTCATTCTTGAAAATAACAGTCAAATTAAACAGTGAAATGAAAAGTCAAAAATGTTTAAGAATTTTGAAGTGACATGTTAACAATAAGACTGCCATTTCATCTATTCAAGACATTCACGAGAGAAATTCTCAGGTAGTTATCATACACTTGATTTTTAATTCAAACTGTTAAGCCAGTAATAGTGTTTAATAGAAATGAGCTTGGTGTTACATTGTGTACTTGGTGTTGAAAAAATTTAGTGTTATAAAGTCAGCAACAGATGAAGCTAGCAGTCATCCTTCACAACAGTTTGGAGCAACTCGGTTAAATCCCTTCATATGAAACACAAAATTGGTCCTATTGGAGAACCCAAAGTGAAATGGACAGAACCAGAGGTACATTGGGATGGCAGCACTTTGTCTTAAAAAAAAAAAAAAGGACAAACATAAAAGAAAAAACATTTTACAGGAGCTGGCAAACAACAATTATAAGTGCCTGAGCTATTGTAGCGATGGAATGTCCATACAGAGTCCGGGATGCAAAGGCTCTTGGGGAACAATTTAACCCAAACCTTGTAAATGCTGATCTGCCACCACACTCAAAATATTCCAACATTAGACCAATGACTTACAAGACCACATCCAAATACAACAGCAAAAGCATTTGATATAAGGTATTCAAACTAAAGAAGGTACAGCTGGGGCCAGGGTGTTGCGGTTCACAAGGGCAGGGGCAGAGGCGCTTACTAAATTCAGGATCAAACCGATCAAACAAAAATCAAGTGTTATGTGACTGGTTAACTTCATTCTCAACGCCGAGACACGGTGGTGTAATTAGTTATTGGAAAAAACGATGATATTGACCTAAAAGATATGCATGCACTTTCTTCATCCTGGACATGCTGTATACAAGGAAGACCATGAGAGCTCAGCAAGGACTCGAAGCACTCGAGAAGCATAATCTATCTTAAGCTGGTTCATTAGCAAGTGCCTAAGGAAAAAATTGGACAATGTAGTTACTTCATTTACTTGTGAATTTACACAAATTCTGGGCAGTCCAATTCTTCATTTTTACATCTATGGTATGTACAGTAGTGTATGTGACTGAACCTTCATAAAACCAACATGCTTGATTTACTGTGGCACAACAAAAAGATGTCAGAATTTGGAAAAATAAAGAACATGGAGCATTAAACAAAAGGAAAATTTCATAAAAAAAAAAAATGGACAGATTTAGAGAGACAACAATGCATCTACTAACTGTTTCTGGTAGTGTTGTCAAGTTGACAAAAGGGGGCGAGGATGAGGGTAGGGGTGGGTGGGTAGTGTGGTGCGGTGTATTTAAAGTGAGCTGCTGTGTGGATGGATGGGAAGGGGGCTGCTTTAGTATCCAACTTTCCTCAGGTACTCAGCCATGCTAAATGCTTTCTTGTTGAGCGATCCTCCGTGGGTACCTTCCTTTCCCATGACTACAACCAACACTGGAGTACATAAGGAAAGAAACAAAAAAGACGACAAATGAACAAAACTGAAAAAAAAAAAAAAAAAAAAAAAAGTCTTTCCCCCCGATGACACGGGGACATTAGGATATAATCATCATTCTTCCCTTGATTGCTATTAAATTTTTTCAAGACATTAACTGCTTGAAGGAGAAAGCTTAACAGCAAACTTCTTTCTTCTTTCTGTCCCTCAAGTGAAACTAAACAAGCTTAATTACATTAGAACCCTGAATCCCTCAAGTATTTTGCCATTGAGTATGCCTTCTTATTCAATCCGCCTCCGTGGACCCCTTCTTTGCCCATTACAAGAACCAAGACTGAAAGAGAAGAAATAGAGAAGGGGAAAGTTGAGAAGTGCAGTGGTTAAGGAAAAAAAGGGGAACAATTATGAAAGAGAATCACAATAGCAATCAGAAGTGTTTGCATGCACATGCGTTTCACCATTAAAAGCAACCAAGTACAGGAAAGAGATTCAGAGTATTTGATAAGAAGGCCTGAGGCTTGTTGCTTGAGCGGTGTACTGACGCATTTTAGCGTACAGGAAAGAGGAAATAGGAAGAGGAATTTGATGCTGCCACATTCCAAAGGACCTTCAACCCCCCACACCCCCTACCCTCCCTTTCTAAATGGAGTTACCTTGCCAAGATCTCTCTCAGAGACTTTCATGAGATCACATTTATACATTGTCTATTGAACATGCTACGCACACTGGGCTTGAAGGGATAGTTCAGCCGTCTTCGTTTACTCACCATAGAGTTGTTCCAAACCTGTATGAGTTTTTCTCCTGGTAAAAGACGATATTTTAAAGAATGTTGGTAACCAAACAGTTGATGGACACCATTGACTTCAGTGGTATTTATTTTCCCCCCCAATGACGGGGTCCATCAACTGTTTGGTTACTGACATTCTTCAAAATATAATCTTTTGCATTCTCACAGGTTTGAAACAACTTCAGGGAGAGTAAATGAAGACAGAATTTCAACTTAACTTAGGTTAGGAATGATAGACCATTACTTCTAGGATTGTGCAAATAATCAGCATCTATGAGACTCAACTTGCACCCTGACGATTTATCTAACATGG